GTGAGAGAGGGAGGAGAGAGACAGAGAGCTTCTCTTCCCCTCTGCCGTTTATTTCTGTCCTCTCCCTTCTCCACCCTTGCGCACGTGTGCGTGAAAAATTTTTCAAATAGGAGATCCGCAGGAGATAGATGACGGACGACAAATCTCGCGTCGGTCCGATTTAAATCTCGACGCAAGTCCGGCGGAAACGAGAGGCAACGCGCGTCCCGCCGCCGCCGCCGCGGCGCGCGCCGATTGCTCGAATCGATATATTTCAGCGATAACATCGCGCCGTTTTCATCGTCGTAGCCGCGGAGTCGCGCGACATTTCTTCGTCGCGGTTAAATCGCCGGGCGTAACACGACGATCCCACCGGGTCCCGCTTGCGGAGTCGGCTGCCGCCGAAAGTTCGTCGCGACGCGATATTTTTCGGCCGTGTCTCCTGTCCCCCCCGCCCCGCGCGCCCTCCTCTCTCGCTCTCTCTCTCTCTCTCTCTCACCGCGTAAAAGCGTCGAGAATTCGAGACGAGATCGCAGCCGAGCGCTCGCTCGCTCGCTCGCTCGCTCGCTCGCGGGGCCGTCGCACGTGCGTGCCTGCGTGTGTACGGGGAGGCTGTGACTCATCCTGCGGGAGAGGGAGAAAGAGCGAGTCCTGTTCCCGCGGCAGGAAACAACGAGTGGGGGTGGGGATCGATATATCGACTCGAGAAACACTCCTGCCGTTAGCGGGAACTGCGTAGCTTCAAGGCCCTCCCCCACACCCCGCCGCCACCCCGTCGCCGGCTCGCTCCTTTCTGCGTGTTCCTTCCTACTCGCACTCGCGGCTTTGCTACCCTCTGCGCGATAGAGTCGATTTTCGGGCGGAATCGCAGAAGAGAGAAGCGATATAGCGAGCGAGCGAGCGAGCGAGAGAGAGAGAGAGAGAGAGGGGGAGAGGGCATGTTCCGTTCATTTAAATTTCGCGTGCGTAAAGCGAAGCTTTTACAATCGACGGTTTCACCCCACCTCTCCTCCCTCTCTCTCTTTCTCTCTTTCGCCCACGTCTTCTTGTCCTGGAAAAAGGCGTTATCGTCCGACCGACGTGTCCGATTGCGTCCGACGCGAACGGCCGTGCGAGCTGCGAGCAACAACGTTCAAATCGGCGAAATCGCTTCCCGGAGGAATAAATGTGCACATTTCGAGTAGCGAATACCGCGCGCGTCTAAAGGCGGATTCACACCTTGACGGAAAAGCAGGAGGCACAAAAGCAGCGTCCAGTCAAAAATCACGCTGATATTCTCTCTCGCGAGAGAGACAGACTATCAGCGTTCGTCATTCTCTCTCTCTCTCTCTCTCTCTCTCTCTCTCTGTCTCTCTCTCTGTCACTCTCTCGACTTCTGTTTTTTGCCAAGGTATGAATCCACCCTAAGGGCGCATTCACACCTGGGCAGAAAAGCAGAAAGCAGGAAGGCAGCAGCCAAGAGAGTGACGGAGAGAAAATCTCTCACGAGAGAGAGAGAGAGAGAGGAGAAAGAGAGAGAGAGAGAGAGAGAGGCAGACTATCAGCACGAGTTCCGATTGGCTGCTGCCTTCCTGCTTTATGCTTTTCTGCCCAGGTGTGAATGCGCCCTAACTGGCGAGGAAAATCACGTAAATTACGTGACGACCGTGTCATACCTTTCGCACGTAGACTCCTGCAGGAAGAAGGACACGAGTTTTCCGCGTGATTCACTCGGCGGACGTAGCCGTCGCCGTCGACGAAAGTCTCGTTAATTCGCAATGCCGAACGCCGAAATGGCGAGATGGTCGACGAGTTAGCGCGCGGGTTAGGTTCCACATTACATCGGGAGTAAGCGCGACGTAAGCGCGGTGCATTTTTCAGCGTCGTGTCGATGGCACGAGACCGCCGCGTTATTTTGCCGGGACGAGGAGAAGCCGCGAGAGCGCGGGTTGATTGGCCTGCCGTCAGATAACCCTGAGCAACCGAGAATTGTATCCGGTTATCGGGCGGTTATCGCTTTGGCGAATAACGCAAAAAGCATTCGTAATGCATTCTCGAGTGCGAGCGCGACGACGAGGTCGACGACGGCGGCGACGGCGACGGCGACGGCGGCGACGAGAGTTCGAGAGGCGAGCCGTGCCGAGCCGAGCGGAGGCGAGAGGAGAGCCGCTGCAGTTAACGTAACCGAACCCTCATTCGCGGCGAAACGGATCCCCTTTCTTCTTTCCCTTTTCCACCCGTCGTCCGCTCACGTTCTCCCATTCGCCTCTCGCACTTTGACGGGCTTCCGTTGTTTCGATTTATCGAGAAACCGGAACCGAAACGCCGCCGCCGCCGCCGCCGCCGCCGCGCCGTCGCCGTTGCCATCGCAGCGCGGCTGGCTCGTCCGACGCGAAAGGACACCCCGGCGGCGGCGGGCCGCACGATCGCGCCCGTGCGTTTCGATTTTCGGATCCCCGCGAAATCGTCGGCGACGCGATGACGCGCGGAAGACACGCTAAGATGGCGAGACGTCGGCGACGAGTCTCCGAAGGCGAAGGGAGCGCAAAATCCACGCGCCGCGACGGGTCGATGATCCATGTGTTTATGAGGAATCGGGTCAAAACAAGGAGGAAGACGATAAAAATCAGGCCAGCAACAGCGCGGGGCAGAGGGGCAGAGGCGAGGGAGAATAAGAAAGAGAGAGAGAGAGAAAGAGAAAGAGAGAGAGAGAGAGAGAGAGAGAGAGCGAGTGGATACGCGCGGCCTCTCGACAGCAGGTGTGCGATGAACTCTCGAGGGCAGAGTCCTTTCGCGCGAACGAAAGGAAAGACAGAGCGGAGCCGGCCGCTCCTTCCCTCGGGATAAAGAGGGTGTTAAGTCCTGGCGGGAGGGGGAGGAGAGAGGAGAGCACGAGGAAGAGAAGTAGGAGAAAAAGAGGGTGTGAGTTGTTGTGACGGCGTGGCTGTACACACCGGAGGAGTCTTCGACTGCTGCCGATCTATCATCCCTTTTCTCGCAGGCGGCGCGCGCGCGCGCGACTTTCGTCCTCGCCGGAAATAGTCACGCTTGAATCATGAAACGGCGCGATTGCAGGAAGCCGAGGGAGCTTTTAGAACCTGCGAGACTCTTGACCGAATCAGAAGTCTACGATTCTCGACCGAGGAAAGCCAATAGATGAGGCGGAAAGAGAGACAGGGCGAAGGAGAGATAGAGACAAAAGAATCGGCAAGCTTGGGCCTAAAGCGGTAATATCACACTGGCGATTGCCGATTGGATTACAATCGCGATTGACGACTTTTCAACCAATCAGGGCAAAACAGGCACCGACGTTTGGGATTGGTGATTGCCGTTTAGACAATCCTCTATTTTGTGACCGCCAATCGCCAATCGCTGGTGTGACTGCGGCTTTAGGTTGCCCAATGGTAGAACAGCTCGTCCGACGAGCCAAAGAATGGCTGAATCAGAGAACTATTCTCGACTGAAGAAGACCAATAGATGAGGCGGGAAGAGACACGGCGAAGGAACGACGGAGACAATAGAATTGGCAAGCATGGGCCTTAAGTTGCCCAATGGTGGAATTATTGTCCAGCAAGCCAAAGAGGACCCGGGTCTTCATAGGTTACCCCGACCCCGGGACCTTGGACTCGCTCCGACATCATCCCCTCTTCGACTCGGGACTCGACTCTTCCGTGCAATCTTCCTCTCCGCAGAAATGAGGAACTTGCGGAGCGAGCGGTCCTCTTAAAACAGCGATTAGATACGGCGCGACAGGGAAGCTGCTGGCCACGAAGCAACAACGGCCGGCGAAAACGCTAATTGATAAATGGCGGAATGTTATCGGAGAGCGGACGGCGGCGGGAGGACGAGAGAGCGAGAGAGCGAGAGAGCGAGAGAAAGAGAGAGAGAGAGAGAGGAGAGGACGGGGCCGTGCGTGCGTCGGTCGGTCGGTGCGCGTGTCGCCGGCAAACAACACGCCGTTTCCGAACGGGAGACGAAGTTCGATACGCGATTATTATGACCCGCGGTGAGCCTTGAACTTGCCCTACGATAAGCGTCCGCTCCGTTGCTGCGCGTCGTCGTTCGGCGTTTGCCAACAATCGCCGGGGGCGCGCGCGCGCGCGCATGGCGCTAATCGGACATCGCGCTGACGATCGTGTTTGGTGTTTCCGACAGAATTTTTATATATATAGCCCGTGAGATAGCGCGGCTGTCGCGCTGATAGATCCTGCCCCCTCGGGCATTAGGAGAAAAAGAAAAATAAGATAGCCGCTGAGAGAAGGCGATATTGGCCGTGGTGGCTCGATCTCCTTCTCGAGCTACTCGTCTCGAAAGGCGGCACAATGTTGCTCGCGCAACGTCGCCGCGCTCGATCGAGCTTGATCAAACGCGACATCGCGAAGGTGGCTCGACGCCATCCCTAGTAGCGGCAGCAGCTGAACAGAGCGCGCGCGAACCAGCCAGCCAGTCAACCCACCAACCCCCTATTCAATGTCGCTACAATAATAAACCACCTCGGTTATCTGTATTTCTGTATTTCCCTCTGGGATTCCCGGCACATTCAGGCATCGAGGCCAAGTTCATGCTATATATATATATATATATGTATATATATGCGCGCCGTTCTATAACGGCGTTTTGTCTGTGTTTACTACCTTTCTACGGCTGTAGTGGTCGCTCGCGTGCGTCTCTATCAGGATTTCGCGGAAAGGCGATCGACCGGCGGCTTTGTAGTTCTCCGCGGCGCGAAAGCCGCGAGGAGAATTGGCGAGCGGGCGAGCGGCTGGGAGGTGGCGACGTTTTTCTCTCCTCCGCCGGGGCTTTCGCGAAATCCCTATCCAACGAGGAGGAAATTGACTTTCAGCGATTCTCGGCAGATAAATTTCCTCCCATCGGATACCGGATGCGCGAGCCGCCGGACGCGAACGTTGCCGTGTCCTCCCGGCGCGCGCTGTCGCGCGATCCTCGCGCAGCTGGCGAAGGAAAGGACGAACGCGAAGTTCAAGTCCGCGCGAACTTGCCGCGCGACCTGGGAGAAACGGAGAAACTTCACTTGGACTCACCTTCTTCTCGGTGAGCTTCTCGCACCGCCTCATCTTACAGATCTGATGACTCTTGTCGTTCCGGCACGGCGCGCAGTCGCCGCAGTTCTCCTTGCGCTGGCAGCCGATGCACTCTCCGCATCTCTTCCGCTTCTTCTTCGCCGGCTTGTCCCCGAGGCCGCCGTCGCCGTCGCCGTCGGTCATGCCGCCGCCCAGGTGGTGGACGCCGCGGTTCGCGGTGGAGGACACCGCGGCCACCTGGCCGGAACTCTCGACGCTGCCGGCACCGGCGCCTCCGCCGGCGCCGCCCCCTCCGCCTCCACCTCCCCCGCCGCCGCCGCCGCCGCCGTCCTCGGACTCCATGGAGCCCGCGCGGATTTTTCTGCGCTCCTTCTTGCGGCCGTCGATGCCGATCGGTCTCGTGGTCGGCGACGAGTCCAGCACGGTCGACATCGGATTCTGGAAATTCGCATGGTGCAGCTGCGGGTAGTCGGACTTCACCACCGTCAGCACCGTGTGGTGAGGGTGACCCGGCGGCGGCGGCGGGAACGCTTGCACCGGGCTGGAGCCCAGCAGCTGGATGTGACGCTCGTCGAGTAGCTGCTGCTGAAGCGCCGGCACCTCCCGCGCCTGCACCGGCGCCGGTACCAGCGGATAACCGATCGATCCGCGATGCGTGTGCGGCACCGGTAGCGGCGTGCCCAACGTGTGGAAGCTAGGCAGGGTCGTGACCGGCGGCGAGTGCGACATGGACACCGGCGACAGCGGCGTCAAGGCCGTCAGCTGCGGCTCGGCCTCGCTCGGCGCGGTAAATTGACTGGTGAAGCTCGGCAGGCCTTCCGGCCCGCCCGCCTTGGACTCCCACGGCCGGTACTGCTGGTTGCCGATTTCCCGCGAGTCGACCAGTCGACTCGACAGGCCCTCCGTGTAATAGTCGCCCCAGGACATGCCCAGGCCGACATCCTGCGGGTGGAGCGTCGTGAGCGTCGTCGAGCTGTCCATCGCGTTGTCGCCGGCGAAGCTGCTGAACGGCGGCAGACCGGGCGGCACCGCACCCGGTGAGGTCGCGACCGCCGCCGGAGGGCTCGTGGACACCCTCTCGGTGGCGACGACCTCCTTCGTCACCTCGGCGCTCATCCTCCCCGCCACGTCATCGCGATCTTAACCCCCGCCCGAGAGCTTCCCGTGAGCCACGCCGAGTCGTCGTCGTCTTGGATTCTTCTTCTTCTTGGATCCTCCTCCCGAGGCTCTCGTGTTTACTCTCTCCGCCGAGATTCCCCGCTCTCTCCTCGTCACCTTCCCCGAGTTTCACGTCGGAGCGAACTCTGTCCGTCTGTCCGATCGTCCGTTCGATCGATCGACTGATCGACCGACCGATCGACCGACCGACCGACGCCGTGGATTATCGCACTTCCGCCGCGCGAGTCCTCGACAGGATGTCCGCGCGGGGCATTTGAGCGTTCCTCTGCCCTTTGTTCCTCTTCTTCTTCTCTCTCTCTCTCTCTCTCTCTCTCTCTCTCTCTCTCTCTCTCTCTCGCTCTCTCTCTCGCTCTCTCTCTCTCCTCTATCGGTGTCAGTCACTGCGCGCGCCTGGCCGCGCAGTGATCCTCTTCAGTTGTCGTTAGTACGTCGAGCTGGATTTCGAGAGTCCGGCTCTTTCGTTGCGTCGTCCTGTTGACATGTTTCTCGATACGTTCTGGAGATGCGTCACCGTGAAACTCCGTCCGGATGGAAGAATCCGACGTTCCGACTTGGGGATACTCCTGATGGCGCGGCTCCTGTGTCTGCTGTTGTTCCGTTGAGCACGTGATCTTTCAAGCTCGTATTCGACGCGCTCGTCCAAGGTTGCTTCCTCGATTTTATATTCGCTCGTTCCCTCTCCCCCTCTGTCTCTCTCTGTCTCTCTCTCTCTCTCTCTCTCTCTCTCTCTCTCGTTTTTTCTCTCGCACTCGATTTCTCGCTCTCCCTGTCCTTCTCGCTCTCGCTCTCGCCCTGTGTGTCTGTCTGTCTATCTATATCTCTAACTCTGTGTCGTTTTGTACTCAACAGGTTTAGGCTACGAACTGAAGTAGATCGGTTGCTCCGGGAGTGTTCAAGCGAAATCCGGTTGACTCTCCTCCCTTTGTCTGATTCTTCTTCCTCTCTAGCTTGGCGAAAATCTGTCACGTGACGCGTCCAGTTTGAAAGATGCACTTACTTTTTACAGTTATCTCTATAAACCTCTTTATAGCTTACAAAAACTGTGCCGGTTTCGCTTAATTAAGAATCGGCTCTGACGAAGGAATCGGTGTGTGTCTTACTATTTATCTCGAGTTGACGAGAGATTAATTGTTACTTGATGAATGGTTAATAGAAAAAATGGTAGATTCTTTGGTTTACGGTCTTGCTCTCGTGCTCCATTTATTCTGTCGTTCTCACTCTCTCTCTCTCTCTCTCTCTCTCTCTCTCTCGCTCTCTCCCTCCTCTCTCTCCTCTCTCTCTCTCTCTCGCTCTCTCTCTCTCTCTCTCTCTCTGTCAATCTTCCTCTCTAACTCTCCGTTTCGCGACGATCACTTCTACCTCGCTCTCCACTGGATTTGGCACTGGTGGACTTGTTTGTTTTAATCTGTTCTCGTATTTCTCCCTTCGTTAGAGATATACTTTGTACACTTATTAGATAATATAGCTCTTAATCTTTTGTCTTCTTCTGAACCTAAGCTCTTGGGATATCTTCTTCTTTTTTTTTTTCGTTTTGTTCTTCCTTCACGTCGATATAAACATACTAATTACTTCTTTCGTAAGAAAATAGAAATCACTTGAGGTTAATGTGGCTTGTTAGAAGGCGGTTGATTTGTACGATCTGAAACAGAGAAGCAGAGAAATTCGCACATATTAGAGAGAACGCTCGTTCTCGCTCGAGGTGGGGGTGGGGGGGGGGCGCGAGGGGTGGGAAACGCGATTTAAGAAGTCTCTCTCTCTCTCTCTCTCTCTCTACCACTACTCAGGATCAGGTCGTTCCGTCGCGAATGAGCGCGTCGTCGCGATATACCGAAGGCGGCACAAGTTCAACGAGAAAGAAACGAGATGCACGGATTAGCGGGTGTGCGTTATTACACGTCACGTGAGCGTGAGCTCTCGCGCGCACGTGACGCGAAAGAGAGAGACTATGTGAGAATGTGTCACACACAGGCGTTGCTTATAACGTGACCATCGCTGCTGAGAGCCAAGGCTACTATTACGTTCGCGCTGTGTGTTTGCACATACACACACACACACACACACACACACACATACACGCCGATTCTCGCGCGCACCGCTCTCTTTGATACCCGCTAGCCGTACGTACGTTGCGCGCCTAACTGTTTCATTCACGTTGCTTAGAAGTCTGACGATGGCTTTGAACTGGTATCGCGTCGTCTCGAGTCGGCCGACTTGATCGACGTACCGCCCGCCCGCGCCGCCGTCGCAGAAACGCAAACTGTTTTTCGTCGTCCGTAACTTTCGGCCGAAAGCCCGTGAGAGATTGCGACTTTCCGAGCGTGTGCACGCGTAATGCGACGACACGCAATGTAGTATAAATAATATTCAATGAAGTCTCGCGCGGAATCGCGTCGTTTACTCGACGAGATTAAGTACAACGTGATTTCTATTAGATACAACGTGAGAAACGTTTGTAGATGCGCGAATGAGGAAAAAAGCGGCGTTTGCGGGAGAAAAGGGAGGAGAAAAGAACGAAATCGCAAAGAGGGAAGGTATAAAACTACTTCGCTCCTCGCGGGACAAGCTGTTTCGTCGCGAGTCGGCCGACTTGATCGACGGAGGACGCACCGCCGCCGCCGCCGTCGCGGAAACGCAAACCGTTTCGTCGTCCGTAACTTTCGGTCGAAAGTCCGTGAGATTGCAATTTCCTGAGCATATGCACGCGTAACGACAACGCAATGCAGAATAAATAATATTCAATGAAGTCGCACGCGTCAGTGTCAATCTCGCGAGAGCGTCGACATTCGACCTTAAAAAAATTTCCATTCAACTCAGTCGAGTGCACTCTTGCAAAAAAAAGCCGCAGCTCGAAATATCCGCGAGTAATTTATGCGCGCGTTTCGCGGTACTTTCGCCGGCATCGTCAAAAATCGCAGCCGGCAGCTCTGCGCGAAATATCGATCGACGTTTGCTCGCACTCGCGCCGCTTCTTCTCCTCCCATCCGTCTTGTCAGCCTCTCTCTCTCTCTCTCTCTCTTCTCTCTCTTTCTCTCTCTCTTTCGCTCTCGCAGCCCTAACCCGCCGACTCGTACCGCGGCAATTCTTTCGTAGCTCGGCGCGAAAGCGGCGCGGAATCGCGTCGTTTACTCGACGAAATTAAATACAACGTTTCTAGATGCGCAAATGAAGAAAAAAAGCGGCGTTTGCGGGAGAAGCGGAATGAAGAAACAAAAAAAAAAAGAAAATGAAAAAAAGAAGAAATCGCAAAGAGGGAAGGCATAAAAGCTATTTCGCTCCTCGCGGGAGAAGCTGTTTCGTTCGCTCGCTCGCGTCGAACCGCCCCGTGCGCGTCCGTGTGCGTGCACGTACGTGTGTGGTGTGTGTGTGTGTGTGTGTGTGTGTGTGTGTGTACGCGTGCGGTCTACGTACGTGCACATGCACACGAGCGCGAGCACAGTAGTGAAAGCTTTTGCGAAGCACGCGGGAACACGTAACACAGAAACCAATAGCTCTCGCTATGTAGCGGTTTTCCACCCCCGCCTCCACCGCCGCCGCCGCTGCCGCCGCCCGGCGTTTTCCGCCCCCGAACTCTAATAGCTTTACAGCTGTGACCGCCGCCGCCGCCGCCGCCGCTGCTGCTGCCGCCGCCGCCGCCGCCGCCGCCGCCGCCGCCGCCGCCGCCGCCGCCGCCGCCGCCGCCACGGCCGGTGTGCTTTCGCTATCGCTGGAAACTTGCACTGTCGTTCGGCCGGCACTTTCGCTCGCGGCTTCGACCTTGCGCGCGCGGAGAGAGATGCGACTCCGCCGTTTCACGCTGTGTGTACGCGAGAGATACCGTTCGTTCCCCGCGTTTACACTTGTCGATTGTACGCGACTCATCGTTCAACGTCCGGAGCGAGCGCGCGCACGCGCGCTTCTCACCGGCGCGATACGCGCGCGGATTTATTAAATGACGCAAGGCGCGCGAGGCGTCCCTAATTGAGCATCGCCGCGTCGGATCGCGAGGTGCGTTATTCGTCAAAGTCCGACGGCGATCCTTTTCCGTGGCGTACGAGGGCTCTCCTCACCGAGGGCCTCCGGTCTCGGCGATTGAACTTTGTTAATGTCCATAAATCTTGTCTAGACTGAATACCGCGAACTTTAGTCTTTAAAGGTCGCGAATCTCGGTGCGTCGATAGCGCGCGCGTGCGTGCGTTAAACTCTGGATGGCGGCGTTGTTCTTCGCTCAGAAGGACCACATTGTACGCACGCCGCGAGAGACGCGGCGCGTGTAATGTCGATGGGAATAATGTTCCGGAAACGATGCGGAAATAAAATCCCGAAAATCGTCAGGCCGCCGTCAGGCGATTCGTCAGCCGATCGTGGCCGATTGTCGTCATCGCGAATTGTCGTTGCTCGCAACTTTTACTTTATTGTATTAACACGTGTTTATTTTATCGCGCGGAAATGACCATCATTTCTCGCGCATGCGCGCGTTGGCGATTGGCAACCAATCGCCGAATAGCGGCAAATTTTGCAAACGAATTTTGCGAACGAACACGAGAGAATCCGATTCCCGGGACTTTTTACCACTCGCGACGAGACATTTCGCGTCACCCGTTAGCTCTCCGTCTCCGGCTGCACTTTCGTCGAATCGACCGTAGATGCATGCACAAAAATTCAATACCACCGTCGCGCATCACATAGGCCACATAGGGTGGCCGAAAAGTACGCGCGTCGGCGGTCGGCCCAGTCTCGTGCTCTCTCCGAAGTAATCGCGCGTCACATGACAAAACAAGAGGAAGGAAAAACGCAAACGAAAAGGATACGCCGGCCGATTATCCCGCAGCGCATTTTCTCCCCACGACTGCCATTTTCCTTAGACCGCCTTTTTCCCAACAATAAAATCCAAAGAGTCGCCGAGAGGTAAAGTAGACCGTTCCCAGAGGGAAATAACGCGAATGTCCCGCAAGGACAGGATGCGGGCACCGTGACGGGACGCCTTTTTCGGGACACTCCATATAACCGCGACAGAGAACGAGTCGTTTGCGGATTCTTTCGGCCGCGGCGCGAAGCACAGGACGCAAATTCCGAGAAGCGCATATAAACCAGCTGCCATAGAGAGACGGGGATTCCACACGCTTGGAATTAATATTAGCCGCGCGTCGCTAACGGAAACCGTCGCCGAGAAAAATCGCACCCGCTCTTTCGATCCGCCGGGCTCAACTGCCGTTCGCGGCGAAATTCCGCGAGTCGAGTCGACGCGGCGGACACGGATGTTCCCTCGCGTTCTCTACCACAAAGAGAGAGAGAGAGAGAGAGAATGAGAGGGGAAAGGGGGAGGCAGTAAAGGAAAAAAGCGCGGTTTTCAACGCGGTGTCAACAAATTCCTCCACTTGCAAATCCTCACTGTAAAATTCGCAAAGACCTCTCGAAGTGAGCGAGAAAAAAAAAATGCGGCGAGAGTCCGCATTCGCGCGCTCTCTCTCTCTCTCCCTCTCTCTCTCCCTCTCTCCCTCTCTCTCTCTCTCTCTCTCTCGCCGTTATGAACTCTCCGGGCTCTTCGGAGTACGAGAGAGACGCGTCGTCCGTTTCAGACGTCGTCCGTTTGTCGTGCATCAGGAAAGAAAAGGAGCAACGCGGCCGCACGCGCCATTTTTGCCGCGGCGCGTAATGCCGGAATTAGCGCGATGCCACCGCGAAAAAGCGGATTAACGCGCGCGGGCAAAGGAACGATGCAGCGGCTTGAGCATGCGAGCTGTGCGGAGGCTCTCCGAGACTTCTCGGAGAATTTCAAGAGCGTGCGCGCGCGCGCGTGCTGTAAGGTCGAAATTATAAACGGAATCAAGTCGGAATGATGTCCAAAGCACAAGTTTCTCGCACGCCGCTCGTTGAGGGAGGTCACTTGAAAAACGGGGAGGGAATCGTTCTCGACGGAGAAACCGAGAGAAGATCGGAAGGCGATCCGGACGAAGGAACGACTGTCGAGCTCGATTTTCAGTTTCGCCGAGTTAAATTACACACACACACACATACGTGTCGCGACAGAGGACAGAGACAGAGACGCGCGGAGAATTGTCCGTTCCCCGTATATCGGAATGCGTCGTAATTGGGCGCGTTTCAAAGGCAAGATCGCTCGATTTAAAAAGCGATATCCCGGGTAGAAACTCTACTACTAGCCGGAGCATGTCCTCGAAAGCGACGCGAAACATCACGAACGAATGGGCCCCGCGCGCGCGCGCGCGCGCGCGCGCACACACGAAGGGCCGGGGCCGCGTGTGTGCGTGCACATCCGTGGGACCTTGAATCAGTCGGCCTTTGTCGCGCGAGAGAGTCGAAGAGAGCTCCAGCTTGCGCCCGCGCCCGGCACCACGAGGCCAGCGAAAGTGTACTCGAAACTTTTTTTTTGCTCGCAGCCGCCGCGAACGAGCGAGTGAGCGAGCGAGCGAGCGAGCGCCGCTCATTTTTGCCCTCTTCTCGGCCGAGCTAGGAGCTCGGAACTCGCCGGAGCGACGGAAACGGACGTAAGATGCGTTTATTATTAGATTTCGACTCGCCCGATTCTCCCCGAGCGTTTTCCGGACGGCTAATGATGACTGCACCGCCGGCGTCGATACCACCGCGGGATACGCGGTATCGGCAATCGAGACTATCGATATCAAAGCCGACGACAGCCGCGACGATCTCGCGGCTGTCTCGATCGGCGGGCCAAGGAAGTCGTCGGTGCTTTCTTGGTTTTCTCTCTTTCTCCCTCTCCCCCCCCCCTCTCTCTCTCTCTCTCTCTCTCTCCTTCTCCAACCGAGATATTTTCTCTCATCTACGTTCTACGCTTTCCTATCAAGCCGGTTCGGCACATTTAGCATTGCATACGTAACGATTTCACGGATGTGTTTTTCATCTGGCTCCTCCTCCCCCCTCTTGCCGCTCTTTTTCCTTTCCGCGTCTCGTAGGGATTTGTGAGAATTGCTCTCCCTTTCTCTCTCTCTCTCTCTCTCTCCTCTTTGCAACGGTCGGTTAAAGCTGGATTCTCACTACCCGTCCAGACGACGACGGCGCGACGAAGGAGTCCGTCGATCTTCCGTGGCAACGTTCTCCGATACTTTCGCACGTACGAACATTCACAGTACACACCGACCCCGTTAAAAATTTCTATTAAAAAAACAGAAAGAAAAAATCGACAGGGATTGTCCTCGTGTTCAGCCTAATACGCGCGCGTTCGTGTCTTGGCTCTACCGAACACCAACGGTCGACCGCAATTGGTCAAGAGGGGCGGGAGAGGGCATCGCTTCCGCGTAATTATTTTGACGAAACTCGACTTCCTCGCGATGCCCGGCGAACCCAAACAAGATCCCTCCCCCGTCTCCGCGTCTCGCAAATTTCCCCGTGGATCCTCGCAAGCGCGGTCAGGGGGCTTGCCGTCAAAGTGGCGATGCAACGCATCGCGGAAACAAAGGATCCGCGCCAAAGTGGACGCAGGGATCAGTATCACGCGGGCGAACAGTGGCGGGGGGTGGGTGGGTGGGTGGGTGGGTGAACGGGGCGGGGGAGGGGGGCCAGAGGGCAGAGGGGAGGAATCGGTAGGTGAACTCCGCGAATCGCGCCGTGTGTACCTCCCGGCCGTCGACCAAAGTCACTTGTTGCTGTCCGGTTTCGGACCGCGAGAGGTGTTGTACCGTTCGAAACGTTCGATCTCTCTCTCTCTCTCTCTCTCTCTCCCCCCGTCCCATCTCCGGCCGCCCTTGGCTGCCGATCTTCGCGTAATCGCAGGAAAATCGGCCGCGCGCGCGAGAGAGAGAGAGAGCAAAATCGGCTCGGCTCAACCGAGTACACGACGCACTCACACGCACGAAACTTGCGCGTTCGCGCGCATTGATTCGCTGGCGCGCTTTTCGCTCGTTCATATACACGGTGTCCGAATTCATTTGGAATACCTTAGGAACCACATGAGAGAGAATATATTTCATTGTTTGCAAGAGTTCGGCCGAGAGAGGCGAAGGTCGGCACGTCGTCGAATTTTCAGTGTCGACGACCGTGATGGTATTTTCCTTTGTCGACGCGAAAAGACGGCAAAGAGGGCGGGGGAGGGGGAGGAGTTAGAAAACGTAGGTCAAGAATTCTGCTCAAATTCTGGTTGAAAGATAAAACCGAAAAACCGGAAAGTGTCCAATTACGACGCGCGATCAGCTCGCATTCGTTTGAAAATGAAGATGTGCTACCCTGTATACGCTGCGCGCGTGTGCGCATGCGCGTGCGGTCTTTCTTTCTCTTTCTCTATTCTACTCCCTCTCTCTCTCTCTCTCTCTCTCTCTCTCTCAAGATACCGCAAAGTACGTCGTGACGACGTTACGAGCATTGCGTACGAGTGCCGGTCACACGCACGTTTACAAACGACGATGACGAAGAAGGGAAGGAGGACGATGATGATGATGGTGATGATGACGACGACGACGACGACGACGACGACGACGAGGACTACGAGGATGACGACGACGACGACGACGACGACGATGAAGACGAAGTACGCGACGACGACACGCATCGTAAAACACGCATATCTGGTGTAGGTGCGTAACGGT